TACAGGAGGATGTACCTGCAACAAAACCTTCGGCATGGTGTTTTACTCGTTGGTAAAATTTCCGGACTTCATTTTGTCTCCTGTACATCTCGATTTGCCCACGATCACGTTTTTCTTGTCCTTTTTTTCTGAAAACACATCACATTACGTGTTGCAACCGTCTGCAGGGCTGCTGCGTTTTTCACATCAGATTTCGTGGTGGTGGTTTTTGGTACCCAAGTGTTGTTTTGGCTGCAGTTTGTAGGGAGTGGACAATTCTTTGCCATTGTGCTTCTATACTATTATCGGGACAAGGAGTGCTTTCGTCAAGCAGGTGGGTATGTTGAGCGGAGTAGGCCTCGGCTACCTGTTGTGTTTGCAGCTTTTCGACGTCGAGTTTCCGTGTTGTGTTAGATCGCATCTTTGCTGCAACATTAAGACGAGTGCGAACATTGGCTGCCACAAGGTAGTGGTCCGAATCGATATTCGGTCCTCGGATCGATCGAGCCTTCCGGTCTGGATGAATGCCTTCCGTCTATCACAACATGATCAATTTGATTTCTCGTTGCTTGATCGAGAGAAATCCAGGTGGCCTTGTGAATATCGAGATGCTTGAATCTTGTGCTGCTAACGACCATGTTTTTTGCTGCCGCGAAGTCAAACAACTTCATGCCGTTGTCGGATGTTTCTTCATGAAGGCTGAATTTTCCGACGTTGGGGCCAAAGTTGTTTTTCCTTCCGATTTTTGCATTAAAATCTCCTAGCTGAATTTCCATATTATGGCCAGGGCAGTGGTCATATGCTGTTTCTAGGCGATCGTAAAGTATGTCTTTGGTCTGTTCATCTTTATCTTCGGTCGGAGCATCGGCGCAAATAAGACTGGTGTAGAAGAGCTGGAGACGAGGTCTTTTATTCTCCTGTTAACTATAAATCCGCAGCCAAATTCATGTCTCGTTTCATTGCAGCTATAATACAGTGCGTAATCGTCTGATTTACTTACGCCTGTCCCTTTCCATCGCATTTCCTGTAAGGCAATAATATCGGCTTTGTACTTCTTGAGTACACACGTGAAATTACGACAGTACAGAGAAAGCCAACATTTGCCATTTTTTCTTCTTGGTTTTAGCATAAATACTAATTTAGTGAGTACAAATGTATATCATTTAAGGGGACCCCCCATTCTCGGGGTCATGTTTTTTGATTTAATTCGAATCTACACTAATTCAAGAATGTCCCTACAAAATTTCAAGTGAAACTCTCAAGAACTCTTGAAAATATAGCCGATTTATTGTGTCAGCATCAAGTGACGGCTAAAGGGCTTCTCAAACTTTAAACGCGTTTTTCTCTTTTGCGAATGGCGGGCACGATAACTCAAAAACTAATAATCCAATCGATTCCAAATTTTTACACGTTTCTCTGTGAGTGTATAGCTATCGTATGAACTAGGATAAAGCCAATCGGTAAAGATCTTCCTTATTTTTTAACTTGGTTTTTGGCAAAAATCGGCGATTTTCCAAAAATATTTTTTCAAAGGTCCACCATTTTGTTAATTTTAGAGCGAAGTCATACGAGAGCCAGACATGTACTCTTTCTAACACCGTTGGAATTTTCGGATTCCGATGTTCCAGTGAGGAGTTATCATGCCCGCCATCAAAAATAAGGACTTTTCTTTAATTACAAAAAACAACAAAAAAACAATAACAAATCTACAAATCTACTCATAGTACACAGGTGTTGTCAGTTCCTTCATCTGGTGCGTCTTCCGAGATTGTAGCTGGCAATTCCCCACTACCTACCCAAAGACCAATATCAATGGCCCCTGTCATGAAAATGGTTTTTGTGTCTAGGTTTGCGCCTGATACCTCGGCTGAGGATATAAATTACTATATCAAATCAAAAATAAATGGTAATTATTTTCTAAGATGCTACAAGCTTCGATCGGCATACTCTGAAAGTAGATCATTTAAAATAGTAGTTCATGATGATATATTTCCAAATTTGATATCGAAAGATTTTTGGCCTGCTAGAGCGTTTGTTAAAGAATTCCTAGAAAGATCAGATAATTTAGCTCATTTACCTCAGAGATCTGAGCCAGTATCAAAAAACTAGATAACCTATTTACCATATGCTATCAGAATGTAAGGGTGTTAAACACTAGATTAACTCGTTTATTTACTGATAGCATTCGTTTTGAATTTAGCATTATTGTGTTTACTGAGACTTGGCTTAAAACGTCTGTGTTAAATAGTGAAATTATGTGTTCAAAATATCAAATATTTAGAAAAGATCGTACTGGTAAAAAAGGTGGCGGCGTCCTTATTGCAGTTGATGCCAACTTTTCCACTAATTTAATTAAATTAAATTGTTGTTCTGACATAGAATTTATCTGCATATCAATTGAATTGGGTAAATTTAAACTGTTCGTTACGTGCTCATATATACCTCCTTCATCGCATCTTGATATTTATAATCAGCATTTAGCAGCACTAAACTCAATAATTAATATTATGAATGATTCCGATAGAATTTTAGTTCTTGGTGATTTTAATATGCCATCTGTAAAGTGGCTCTCATTGCCAGACTCAGAAAGTTTAACGCCGTTGACATCTGAAGCAAATGTAAACCAAAATACATTTGATATTGTTAATCGATTTTGTGAAATTAATCTCCTTCAAATAAATAATATTTTAAATTGTAATGATAGGATCCTTGATCTAGTATTTGTAAATTTTACACAATTTTTTGAATTAATTCGAATTCCTGCTATATGTACTCCAGAAGATAATCATCATCCAACATTATATATAACCATGAGCCATAATTCTACAATTAACGAAAGTTCATGTGACTCATTTAAAAATATTCTTAACTATAAAAAAGCAGATTTTCGAAAGCTTAATTCTCTTATTTCATCTGTAAACTGGACAACTGCATGTCAGTGTATGAATCACCCAGATTTTGAATTTATAATAGATACATTTTATAATACTCTAAATAAATTTATTTCTGAATGTGTTCCAACTGTTAGAATTAAAAATTCTGATATCCATGGATTTCGCGGGAGTTATCAAGTATGAAAAATTTAAAAAAAATAAACTTTTTCGAAAATATAAGAAGTCAGGCTCATCTATAGACTACGCTAATTATTCTGTTGCTAGGTCCAAATATACCATAGAGTCCCGTAGATTGTATAATAATTACCTCAACAAGATCAAAAATAATTTTAAAACTAATCCTAAGTCATTTTATGAGTTTGTTAACTTAAAAAGAAAAGTTTCCTCAAAACCCACAATTTTGAAATGCAACAATAAGGAGTTTGTAAAAAACTCTGAAATAGCAGAATGTTTTGCAAATTTTTTCGCCTCTACTTATTCATCTGCAGTTTGTCCAAATATAAGCTCATATCCTTATGAGCTATCCAAAATAGATCAAATATATATGCCTTTTTTACAAAGTCAAGATGTTGCTAAAAATTTACATACTCTAAAACCAATTAAACTTCCAGGTCCAGATGGTATACCTAGCATAATTCTCAAATATTGTTCTGACACTTTAGCAACGCCTCTTACGTTGCTATTTAATCATTCCTTAAATTTTGGTTATTTTCCCACTATATGGAAGAAATCTTTTATAGTACCGTTGCACAAGTCTGGTAGTCTATCTAACGTCTCAAACTACAGAGGAATTGCAAAATTAAGTGATATCCCAAAATTGTTTGAAAAATTAATTACTGCTGTTATTTCTCACAAAATTAAATCCATTTTAAGTCCATATCAACATGGCTTTCGTAGTGGTCTTTCAACCATAACAAATCTTATAGAGTTTACTTCAAATGTAATAAAGGGATTTGTTCAGCGAAATCAAACTGATACCATTTATACAGATTTTAGTAAAGCTTTTGATAGGGTTAACCATGAACTCTTATTATATATATATATATATTATATATATATATATATATATAAATTAGATAATATGGGTTTCAGTATAAACTTAGTCAAATGGATATCATCTTACTTACAAAATAGATCACAGTTAGTTTTGTTTGAATGAATCGATTAACGTATCTTCAGGTGTTCCACAAGGAAGTCACCTCGGGCCAGTTCTTTTTCTATTGTTTATAAATGATTTGCCAACTTCTGTAGTACATTCTAAATTGTTAATGTATGCAGATGATGTAAAGTTATTCATTACCCATAATTCTGAGAAACAATCCATTTTACTCCAAAATGATTTAAATAACCTTTTTCAGTGGTGCAGATTAAATTGTATGGATTTAAATTTGAACAAATGTAAACATATGTGTTTTTCTAGAAATTCTTCATTGATGGAGGCAATACAATATTAACGGTTCGGTTTTATCAACAGTTGAAACATTCGTGGATCTTGGTATTTTAATGGATCCAAAGTTAAATTTTAACAATCATGTCATTTCAATGGTAAATAAAGCATATGGTGTATTAAGTTTTATAAAACGATGGGCCAAAGAATTCTCGGATCCTTATATAACAAAACAACTATACACGTCTCTTGTTAGACTTATATTAGAATATGGTTCTGTTGTATGGGATCCTCAATATGCAATATATTCCGATAAAATCGAATCAGTGCAGAAACAATTCTTACTTTTTACACTTTGTCAACACATGCAGTTTATTGACATTCACAATATTCATTCAAAAAGTCAATTTTCAATTTTTTGTTAGTTACGCCTTTTTGCATTTTAGCTAACGATATATACAATTTTAATGTTTGATGAACTGGAATATACTATCAATATGTTGGTTGTTTATAGTTCGAAGCATATTGAAACCTTGGTTTTTTAAAAAGCAGCATTGTTGTTGAGCCAATGGTCTGCCCACAATTTGTTTATATCTTGGGTAAAAACTCGTTCGTAGTAGTGAAATCTGTCAATGCAAGTTTGTATTCTAGTTCCGAATAAATGACCGAAATAAAAATTGTAAAATACAACTTTATGTTTGCAGTACGAAAATAAAATATATTTCTTTTATATTTTACAGGTGGTATTGGTATTTTATGTTGATGGAAATAATGTTGTACGGGAGTGTGAAAACGCTTCCGGAGGCCAGACCATTGCAAATCATCGCCAAAGTGGGCTGGCAAATTCTAGTTTGCCGACAATACAATCCAATAATTACTCATTGCCCCAGAATAACAGCAGCGGCAGTGAAATTAACTTTATATGTGATCAGAAATCATCATCCTCCACATCGGTGAGCAGTAGTTTTGGTGGTGCCACAACCGACAATAGCAACGGTTATGAATCTAATTCAAAGCGGAGTACCCAACATAGAAGCGGTGGGCAAAATGTTAGTAATATTCACCATTCTCATCCTTATATGGCTATGCACGATGACAACAGCGTGTTGTACACTTCGTCACAACCTGTGGTAACAACAATTGCGGCACCGCCCGGATATATGATGGAACATGAACGACTACTGACAAAAAACCAGCAATGTATACAGAAAAATAATATGCACCACCTCCAGCAAGCGAATTTGCCTTCTGTGACTGCCACTTCGACGCCCAACCAGAGGCATATACAAAGACAAAATGCTGGGGCCGTAGCTGGCAGTAATGCCGACGGTGGTGGGATACTGGATATCCATAGGGCTGGTGCGGATATATTATGTCAAACGTCCGCCAACCTAAATGCCAGTGGCATCAGTGGTAACACCAATTATAACCACAGTACCCATAACAGTAGTAAAACCAGTAGTGTCAGCAGTCAATCGTCTTCTGTCATCGGTGATAATGAAGAGGACTGGGAATCCGGTGAGTCCAGTGCTAAACAGCTTGAACACATTACTTTATTACTTTCTACTTCTTCTGTAACATCTTCTCCTGCTCCAAAACAATTACTTCCAAATAACAATACAAACACCAACTTATCCCTCAATGATTCCTCGAGAAGTAAGCAAAAGATTAACATTGGCCTTCAGCCCTCTTCCTCCACTTCCTCCTCATCCTCTACGTCTGCCTCTAGTTCCACCTGTACCTCTGCATCCCACACATCTATCTCCTCCAAGTCCTCTTCCAAATGCCCTTATAACAACTGTAACACTAGCAGTAGTAGTTGTACAAATAGAGTTGCTGGTGGTGATGATGATGATGATCATAATGATAATGAAAACGTCGATGAAAGCAAACCTAAATATAAGATATCTGACTCGAACATTGTGGCCACACAAGAGCAACAGCACCAAATACAAGGCAACGTAGGATTATCTCTTGAGTCAAAAGTTAGGGACGGGCAAAAAATAGACCCTCCACCGAAGCTTGATTGTAGTGATCCGAATAGCAGAGCAGTGGCATCAACGACGCCAGTGCAAACACCTAGTACTCGACCCAAGCTAATGCATCTATTGATGCCTCCCAAAAACATCAACAATTCACATCAATCTATGCACAAACCAATTTTCAAGCGTAAATCTTCTTACAAAATGACTAAGGGTGTGCCCAACGCCGCCACCACTGGTCCGAAAGCAACGAATGATGGTTGCACGAATTCCAGTGGCGACACAACGTCATTCGAATCATCTTCTGCAACACCGGACACCGCGGTGGGCAGTATAGGAGGTGTAGCCACTACGTCGAAGCAAAAATTAAAAATCAAGCTTAAAAAAAACAAAATGAAACTGTCGCAAAAGTTCCAATGGTTCCAAAGCTATTTCCGTAGTGATCCTGTAGATTTCTGTGAAAACTTTGTGCAACAGACCACTTCAATACGGCGCAACAGTATCTGCAGTATGGCTAGTCGAACGCATAAATTGTCGACAACGACACCACCGTCGATTACTCCGCCGCCACCACCGCTGACTGGGGCGAACATTGACGGCTCTTCGTCATGTGAACAGTTAAATGACAGAGGCCCCGGTAGTGTTTCAGGGTCAACATCGAACGCAAGTATAGCTACTGGCGATCTTTGTGAAGACTACTATTCACATATTTGCGACAATCAATTAAGCTTTAGCAACTCGCCGTGTAAAAGTCCCCGTTCAATGGCGGACATTGTTGGTAGTATTAGCGGTAGTGGTGGGCATGGGGGAAGTTTCGGTAGCAGTTTTGCCAAAAGCGCAGGCAGTTTTCATCAGCAATACTTCCGGGAACGGCGTGAAACTCTGCCGGGCCTCAGTTCTCATAGTGCTCGTCGCAATAATGTAGTCATAGTTGCCGCCAAGCCCGTAAGAACGAACGCTATTGGTTTCAACATACATACCGCCACGAATTTCGAGCAGCAATCGCAATCGGTGAGGCAGGACTCCGAAGATGCCAATGCATCACCGGCCAGTATATATAACACTGCTAGTTGCTCACCTCCAAAAATTGATGCAGTTGGTGGCGAGAAAGAAATCAAAGACACACCTTTTGTATTTCCTGTACGTGACCCCAATACGGCGCCAGAAGATTCTAGTTGTAACAGCCAGCCTAAAGAATCACCGACGAAGCCTCAAACAAAGTATTCTCTTAATTTGGTTATTGTCAACGAATGTCCTTCTGATGATTTTGCTACTGCCCCAACTGGCACCACTACATCGAACACAACTCGAAGCAGCGAGATATATAATGATCCAGACTCCGATTATGGTTGTGATCAAGATCAAAACGAGTCCTCCACCATCATGCATACTTCAAATGAGGGTGAAATTATGGCGACGGATGCGACATCAACGGCCATAGATTATTTGTTTGAAACAAAACCCACAGCAACTACTTGCGCATCCATATGTAGCAACAGCAGCAGCAGTGGTTTTTGTACAAGCGAATGTTGTACTACAAACAGTAGTAGCAGTAGCTGTAACTGTAATCCCTTTGCTTTAGTTCTAGAAAGGCATGTTGCATTAGCTGCCCGTCAGAAGCAGGAGGACATAATACTTGAAGTTGATGTGGATGGTAATAGTACCTCAACACCGCTGAACACTTCGATGCCTGCACCCTCGACTAGGGAAGAGGCTTCCGATACAACGTCGTCAGAGTCAAATGAGCATAAATGTGATTAAAAGAAATGCAATTTATTTAGCGAGTGTGGCTGTGGTAACCATTTTCCACCTTAGCTTTTGAGTTTGCAACTCCAGTGGTATATTGTTTCGGGTGACTATAGGTACAAGCAATACGAGTACAAGTGACTACTACAGTCTGGATTGTCTGAGTGAGGTCGATCGATTTACGTACGGCATCAAGGACTTGTAGAAGTTATCGACATGTATGCACTGAACATATATCCATTCGTTTCCAAACAAAAACAAAACAAAAAATTGTCGAATATACATTTTCTCACAAATTCTTTTCTACTATTAAACCATTCATCCTAACGTGAATTCGAATTTATATTTTATTGAACACTGTTTGACGATATGGGTCGAAACTGAAGAACAGTGCAAATATGTCTCATCGCAACATTTTCGTCTTTTAGAAAACAAAAAAAAAAAAAAATATTCTTCGCCCATTTATGAAGCGGTCGGGGTAATTATCAGCTTTGTGATTACTTTCCATAAGTGTTTTCAAAATGTTCGCGTGTAGGCCACAATGTTCGCAAAGCCTTTGATAACTTCAGAGCTGTATTTAAAAATTACCACTTGTAAGATCTTAAACGAAAAGCCATGCAAATTGTTATATGTTGTTCTTCTTCCATCAAAATCATCAGTGTTTGCAAAATGTAATAAAATCAAATCAACTTCGATATGCAGTATACATATTTAAAAGAAGAAACACATATTTTCAAGCTTGCAAAAAATCTGTAATTGCATAGGGAAAACAAACACAAACACACACACACATATATATACACACAGCGAAGTAATATTATCCACTGCAAAAACAAATCTTCTAAACATATAAACATGCAGCGTATATACATAGATACATAAATTAAATATAATTTCTCGTCTTGTTCTTTATTTATTACTATTTCTGTTTAGTTATTTTTATAAATTAGTTTTAATATTACGTTCGAGCACTCTACGCACCGCCCCGCCCCTCAACTCTTCTTCCCCTACATCAAACCAATCAAACCCACTCCCCCGCCCCAATTTTATTTAGGTTAGTTTATAACATATATACATATATAACAAAATTAATAACAAAAATGAAAATTCTGTAATGTTCTCAATAGAAAGTAATTAAATTACTTACGTATACTACGACGATTGTAAGGATTTATCACGTAAAAATATTAATTAAAAATTATTATTTTATACTTTTATTACTCTTAGTACTACAACAAAAATTTTATTGTTTTCTTTTTCTTTCTAATAATGATTTATTACTTAAAATGTTACTATTAATACAAAACTAAACAAACACAATTACAAACAACAACAACAACAAAAAGAAAAAAACAGAAACTACACAAAACAGACAAAAACATGTTTTTTAATGTTTAAGTTTATATATATTATAAATATATATTAATTCTATTCTATAGAATCAAGTATAGCGATCTTCGTACATTTGAAACATGTTTGTTATTCGAAGGCATAATTAACAATCTAGAACCTTGAGATTCTCTTCAGGTGATTTTGTGATATTTTTGGTACCGAATTAAAATTTAAGCTTAAAATCAATTTATTGATACATTCATTTTTATTTCTACTAGTGCCATCGACTATGCGCAGAATTTACTTTCAAGATTTTAGACTGAACATGTATTGGAATATACCAAAATTGTTTTCTAATTTAACGAAGTTCATATATGATAGAAATTCATTATTTTAAATACTATTTGTTCGACAAAAATTTGGTTTTATCAATGCGTGAAACTTACCGCAGAAATTATAATTTCTATATTTTTGTTTTTAGATTTGTTAGTTTCTATTAAACAATAAAATATCGCATCTATGTTTTACAGATCATTGCAACCGTTGTGCTCAGATTGTTTGCGATGATTCATTCGTAATATAATAATGATTGGTGACCGATGTCAAATATCAATTCATTATTTTAAATCTGTACTACTCTACTGTGTACACTGCTAAAATACACACACTTCCCACTTCAATGTACGTTGATTGTTCTTGATTTCTGTAGAAAGTAATAAAAAAATCAACAATATGTTTAACAAATGCATATGTAAATACAAATTAATTTTTTGTAATGAAACCCAAAACATGATCTTTAGACGATATGATTTTATATATCGTCAATAATAATAATAATGATAATAATTATACAAATATTTTTTTTATTATTTTTAATTAATTCATAATTCTTCTTCTAATATGATGAAATGTACCGATTGATTATGAATATAATGATTTTAATTGCTGTACGACTGTTTTTATTTTTTCTAATTGCACCTAATTGTTTTATTTTTTGTTTATTCTATGTTTTGTTAATAACTTTGTAATACTGTTAATACAAACCATATTGATTTATATAAAGAATATACCGGAACCAGAGTTATTCCTGCAATTTTTCATAATCATTTGCTATGTCAAGTAATGTAATATTCTGATGATTGTGTAAATATTTGATCAAACTACAGCAAAATCAACAAGAACTGCTTCTGTTTCGTTTTAATAAAATCTTCATGTTTTTTTCTTAAAAATAAGTCTTATGTTTTTATTTCCGTAAGAGTCGAAATGCATAATTTTTTATTTTCTTGTCAATTATTCACAACAAACACAAACGACAGCAGACATACATATGTATATACATTGCAGCCTATGCATTCGAGAACCCTTAGACATACTCAATTCATACATCACATTTACCTTTAAATTGTCTCCTTCATCTAAAGATACGCTTTCGTAAATACTTATTATTGATTATTGTTGTCACTCGGGTTTTATACTTGGTACAATATGATTTTGCTACTCGACGCAATTTCCAATTATTGGAAACGATACTTTGATGAACTTTATTTTGTTTTTTTATTTCTACGACATGCTGATATAAATATACGTATGTGTAACATGTATGAATTGAAATTTGTATTTTAGCAAAGGAAAGAATGCTAAGGGCTTCAACAGCAAAAGAAACAATCAGTTCGGTAGTAAATGGTTCTATAGATGTGATACAACAACAACTACAGCAGCGACAACCTCCCTCGCCACCGCCACGGCTGCAAAAGCCAACCAATTCGGGAAATAAATTCAAAATCGGTCGTACAGCTAACTCCAAATACAATCATTCACGGGTTGGTTCTGCGGCCGCAGCCCATCCTAAATGTAATGGAATTAAGGACGGCATTGAGTCTCTGGTTGACAATGATGCTGTTGTTATACCCAAAACGCAAACAAATACTTCTTCGAATAGCATTAAAATCTCGACACCCACCAGTACCAATAGTAAGACAACAACAACAAAACGGCAGTTATGTGACATTTGCTTACGAACAAGTGATATGTCGTCAGAGCTCAAGTGCTGTTAAATCGATGCCATCTATATCTATACATTTTCCATAGACATTAAGAGGTCCTAAACTTACTTAGTGGTGAAAGTGATTTTGAAATTAAATTGGTAGAAACATACATAAACGTTTTCGTTTTATTTTTCATTTAGAAATTCGAAAAATACCAATACGGAAAATGAATAACAAAAAAGTGTGAAATTTATTATTATGAAATAAAAAATAAAAAAACATCTCTGTCTGTGACTGTACTGTACGCGCCTATATTATATACTAATAATTATTATTAAATGTACTTGTATGTGTTGTTAGTTTTTACCTAAGAAACAAAGATGAAATGAGAAATTTATAGCTATTATTATTATGATTATTATAACTTTGGACGTTAGTACCCACATTCAAATTTTGAACAAGAAACAAACAAACCAATAGTAATGATATTAAATAAAAAATAATCCTAGAAAAAATCACACATCTCAACAAAATTGTAGATCTATTATAAAATACATGGAAACTAACATGTATATTATAGTCGTTCGAGACATGAACGATAATAATGGAAGGAATGAAATATAAGAAATTTGTTAAATGTTGTAACGCAACCGTCTTTTTCTACTACATTGAAAAATAATTATAAATAATAATAATAAAAAAAACAAACAGACAAGAAAAAGAAAGAAGAATACAGAATAATTTTTGTAGTTGATATTAGTGTTTAAATTGAAGCAAACCTCTAAAACAAAAGTCTTTCTCTCAACTCAAAGAAACAAGACATTTATAAATCAAACCTCCCCCATCCCCAGTAAAGTTCCAAAATATTACAAACCTGGGTCCGTTTACTATTGTATTTGTAAAGATGTGTATGTAGATGTTATTATAGATATTTATTATTAATATTATTATACATATATAATATATACATAAATTATATGATTACCATAAGTAGATATTATTAAAAATGTCATGAAAATTGTACTGTTTCTTTAGGTAGGAAATGAAGAAAAACAAATTGGCAACTGACTGTAATGGTGTTTCCAACATTTCACATATTCTGTTTGGTCTAGTACAACCATCAATGTTATTTTCAGTTCCTCTTTTTTAAACATAATACTCTTATTTTAATGCAGTAAATGTGAACAAAAGTTTAGATACCGGTATGTTAAATTTTGGTAATTGCTGTGCTTCTTAATAGAGCTATTTCTAGAGTGCCTAAAATTTGTAAGTAAAGTTCCTTCCACGACTCGTCAGTGTTTGAGAAATTCAGATTATAACATCATTTAAGAACAAAAAATTACATTTATGACATAAATTATATATCTTTTCAAATGAGATTTTTATTTAACAGATATATTATTGCACCATTAAATCAAAATTATTTTGAAACGAAATTTCACTGTAGGATTACTTTTTGATTTTGAAAATTATCATGTCGGAATGTGATACGGTTTACATTGAAAAATGAAAAATAATTAACAATGATTACAATTATTCATAGGTACATATAATAAGAGAGAGAGACAGAGAGACAGGATTTTCGTTATATTTCATGACGATTGTGTATCTCATTTTATATTTAAAAAGTTTTCAGGTTTATTTTAAATTAGAATAACCAGTTCGTTGCGATTCATATCTTTATAACTTTAAATAGTA